CCATTAGTTTTGAGACTGAATCAACACCATCTCCACACATTTTGTCGCCCAGTGAACAATATTTATCGTTCATTGCATTCCATTTCAGGTTTTAAATTCCATAATTGATTCTATTTACCCTTAATCAAACTACATATTCTTGTAAAAAATCATCCAAATTTTGAAATAAAATCATTCACACTTTCGTGCTTGATCATACAGGTAGCAAAATAAACCTATTAGGGAAATGTTGATCAGTACGCGTGCTCCGTTTTGCATGACAAAGGGAAACATTTGGTATCTTTTCCATGTCAATATGTTGCCTATTCTATACTTCTCTACCCCCTCTCTCTCCAAACTCTCCACCTATTTTCACTCCCCCTCTGTTTCTTACACACTTTATATTTTACATCATATTCCAAAATCCAAACAATTCTCCTTCAAGGTTCCTATTGTTATGTCACTAAACTGTTCTGTAAAGCTAACTTAATTCTCTAAACCTTGTCCTAATCCTGGGGAAAATCTTTTTCCGAAGAGGAAGAAAATGAATTGATATAATATTCATGAGACAGGAGCACATTGTCATGATAGTTCCATTGGGTCATGGGAGATCAAGTTGTTGAAGAGATAGGACAAGTATAATTCTTCAAAGGCGAATTCTCAGGCATGCATAAAGCTTAACTTTCTCATCTTGTTCCCTAATTTAAATCAATGCATTTTTGAGACATGTGCAGAACTAAAAGGTTTTGAGTATGCGTTTATCTCTTTCTCTTTACTTCACAGTAAAAGTTGACGTGAATCATTTTCCCTCTTCTTATTTAAAAATATAGGAAAAAGTTTATGCATGTTGGTTACTTTATTTAAGCATTTATCTTATCTCAAATAAATAAGTAAAGAGCCTAAAAGGGTTGTGATATAATATAATCTTGCTATAGTTTTTTAAAATGACTTCATAAAGAAATATACAATATATGCTTTTCAAAGTGTTGTTAAATTATTCTAAAAACTTCCCTCAACATTAAACTTCATCAGTTTATGTGTCATGAAAATTTCTTTTATCAAATAAATCAAGTCTATACAATTTAAAAAATAGTCAATATTTCAATGACTTTATTATATATGGTTAAAATATAAGTAAGTATTAGGTATAAAATTATATATTTATAAATGTTATATCTTATTCCATTTAAAAATAGAGTCCTGACTAATATAATTATGATAATATTATTAGATTAATGTTTGTATAGTTATTATATGTTTTGAAATTTTAGTTTATCATAGATTTTATTTTCAAAAAATGTTTTAATTGATTAAAAAAATATAATTTATATAAATTATGATCATATTTCGTAAATTATGTAAAACTTATAAATGTATCACGATCCATTATTAATAATAATAAAAAAATTAGAACGAGATTTTATTCTCAACCTACCATAAACATAAAATATTTTAACATGTAGAAAGAGGTTGATTTATAAAAATATTTTGATGCTTAATCAGATAAAAAAATTGAATAAAAATGGGCTCTTTTATAAAAAAAATATTAGAGTATTCTTATTTATAAATTACTTAACATAATTTTTAGATAATAAATTATATCAGTTAATAATTACCTTTAAATATGATATTATATAACCAAATATATTAAATAGATATTATTATTATTATTATTATATATTTAAATAAATTAATTCAAAAAATATTTTCCTAATAAATATAATAATTATAAAAATCCGATGTATACATATTCTATTACTGTATACATAATTGTTAAAATAATATCGTATTATTAAATTTTTATTTGATAAAAAATTTAACTGGCGCATATTATTTAAGTAAAAATATTAGAATACTAATTTATTATTATAACAAGTAAATATTTTTCCATATTTTAATCATGAGAGTTTTGCTTATCATACCAGAAGTAGGACCGACCTAACGCATAATGTCACTAAATATTTGTTTTTCCTTTTTTCGCAAATCAGGAAATGCTAATTTAATTTAGGCAACAAAATTGTTATTAACATAAGGATTAAAAATTTTCTTTCAGAAAAATAGAAACGTCAACTTGTCACGTTCTCTAATAATTGGAATAGCTACGCACGATTTCTTAATCTTTTTAATGGTGAAGTTTTATGTACTTTTAATTTTTTTTATTTATTATTTTTTACACTAAGTCATTATAAGTTAAATTTATTTTTAAATTTAAATATGTAAAATCAATTAAACATATGTGAAAATGATATAGTGATTGTTATATTATTGAATTATATAACAAATGATGAGTTGATTTGTGCGTCATCCAAATGCATATACTACAATAACAATATAATTAAAATTAAAAGTATTAAAACTTTTTTTTTAAATTCAATACAGTCTTAAGTCTATATTGCTTGACTTGATCATTTTCAATAGTAAAAAAAATGTAATAAAACTAATTAACATGGTCTGATAAATAATTTGATGATAAAAATCTGAAAGATAAATTCCCGAATATATATTTCAAATTAATTTTTAATTTTTTTGTAAGTTTAATACAATGAGTACCCTTAAAAAGCATATAATAATATAGCATTTTCCCTATACTTATATATATAGCAAGTTCAACGTTCAATTTTACCTAACTTCAAATAACTAATGCTATAGGGAATTTACATTTATATTCCTCCATCCCAGCACTGATGACCTACTTTTGATTAAATCATGGAATAAATAATATATGTACGGACATATTAATGTTAACAACTTAAAAAATTGGTAACACATTCACCAAATTATTAGTTAGATAGGTACAAAAATTATTAATAAACATACATTAAAAGCCAAACTATTATATATAACAAAAGATTTATACTCAACAAATTATATAACCATTAGATTCAATTCTTAAATAATATGACATTTATGTAAAGGAAGACAAACTTATGTTGTTGTTTTTTTTCTAGTGTTAAATATAACATAAAAAAAAAAAAAACAAGATGTTTATCTTACCCAAAAGATATGATGAAATGAGGAAGATATATATGTATCCTTAAAAGCAATGGTAGGTCAAAATATATATGTATAATTTGTATAGTTTCTGCTACGTATATGAATGGAAGGTATAAGGTAAGTAGTTAGTAAACTGAAATGGGGTTGTGATTGAGAATACAAGTGCAGAAGAAGAATGGTTGGAGGAACAGTGTTTAGGTATAGCAGATTAGTGAAAAGGGTTATTGTGATGCAGAGGAGAGGAGAGAGCAATGAGTAAAATATTCACATGGCTGAGCGCGAGAGAAGGGGGCGAAGAAAATGCCCCGTTATATCCGCACCATGCACACTACTTGTCTAAAAAGGTTGATGATACCCTCATCACATGCCGTTGAACAGAACAATCTCTGTCGTGTGAATCCTCCATCCCTAGGCACCAGTACCAGTACCACTTACACTCGATACTCATCATAATGATAATGTTGTAATGAAGAGAGGACATGGAAATGCAATCACGGAAACATCACAAATAATATATTCTTTTTTCATAATTTTGCTGCCAACCAAACCAAATAAATAATCAAAATGAATACCAAGTCAACAAATTAACAGTTCCACTATCCTCCTTTGACCACACCAGTAAAGGATGTTGCTGTTGGAAACAAAATGTCATATCCCTCTTCCATTTCTTCACATTAATAAGCCTTTTAACTTATGATGAGAAAAAAGTGAAGAACACCCGGATAAGAGGTAATCTGTCTTCTCTTTATGCCCATTTCAATGGCATGCCATTATTAGGTTATATACACACCCCCATTATAAATAGATTATTCAACATCATAGGTAACCCCATTACATATTTAGTGAAGTTGGGTATTTTGTGAAGCCGTTTTGAGATCATTGCCTTCTCCACTTCTTATGCACCTACAAATTTACATCTATGGTAATATCTAACTCACTACATTGGAAGAGGGACTTCATGCTCCAAAAGGTAGCTTCCAACTAGTGCTGTATGTTTTCATTCTTCCAAGATCAAAATAATTAGGTTATTTTTTTCACCCCTATTCTTTTTTTATTTATTTTCAGTTGCAAGTTGGATTAACTTTTTCACCATATTTAAATATTGATTTATAAAATTACCTAATTTTATATACTACACTTAATCCCTTTACTATCAAACTAATTAGCTATTGGTAAGGAAAAGACCAATATAATTCTCTTTAGCTACCAATATTTCTCACAATTTATTATGATAGTTGGTTTGGAATGCTCTACGTGGGGGCCATTTCGGGTATATTTATTAGTTAGGTTTCTTATCAAAACAAAAGGGAAATAATAGTGGGAATTTAGTGGTCTCAAAGTTGAGCATGCATATAATTAATTTGTTGGAACATAATTCGGGAATGTATAGTAAAACATTTTTATCATTTTTTTTTATTTGGATGTTATGGTAAATTTTATATTGTTTTTCCAGCATAAAGTTTTTTAATAATATTTAATATGGATTGGCTCAATATTTATAAAAATGGCTTATTATATGTTGGTGACAATTTTTTTTTATCAATATCATTAATTAGATGGTATAAGTAATGCAACACATTAAAACACACATTATATATTTGTGACATGGGAAAAAACAATTATTAAAAATGTAATATTAATTGAAAAAAAAAGTGTACAAAAATAGCCTCTCTTTCTATGATATAAATCACTGGAAATAGAGCTTTATTGACCGAGATTTTCATTTACGAGACTGCAGAGAAGTACAAGCTCAGTTACATTTATAACATGGGACACATTTTATGAAATATGAAGGGCACCCTTAGCATAACATACAATATTTTATTCATATGCGCCCCTTAGAACCACGCTATGACTATACCACCCCTTCATCTTAATAAATACTATACAATAAGAAACCCTAAAGGGATATATATATATATATATATATATATATATATATATATATATATATATATATATATATATATATAACTCGTTAACTAATAGGAATTTCATAGTAGGTGATAGAGTAAGAAGGTTGAAAATCACATATTATTGTCACCTCTGTGGTAGCCATCCCCAAGTGGATCATTGTTCCAAGGACAAGGGTAGTAATAACCAGGAGATTGACCAAGAGAGGAACCTCCCCCTTCACCCATTCTTCTCCCATCTTGAGTTGGCATTTCATTGCAGGTATAGCGGATCAAATCAGCGTTTGTGGCATCGAGTTCCTTTTGGAGCCTAATCACTTGCCTTTGGAGCACTGAGATGGCTCCAACACAACCATAAACTGGATCTTTTATCCTTGCCTCAGCTTCATAGGCCAGAGAGTTCACTGCATCTTCCCTCTGGTGGGGTTGGACTTCATTCAGAAGTTTGCTCACGTTGCTGGCACCAAATATCTTGTGAACATTGGCAAACTTTTGAGGCTCTTCTGGTGGGAAATATGGGGCAAAAATGCAATCCGGCATGCATTTCCTTCTCAAAAACTTGCAGGCAGCACAGGGAGAGTTAGAGTAGCTAGAAGAGGCCATGATCTTCACTGCAATTACCAATAAGAATTGCATAGACAATAAACAGTTCAATTACATACAAAACCTCAAATGTTGGGATTACTTAATTATGATGATTGATTATTACAGTCTTTCTTATATCAGCAACAACGAAATTCATTAAAGGAGAGTAGAGTACAAAAGGTACTCCAACTCATGATGAGTACACAACGTTTAAGCTAACATGAAAATCAAAAAATCAAAATACAGTACAATATAATTGATTACATTCTGAATCTCGTAAAAAAGAGTATCCTGTAATTAAATATCATGCAGCTCGATCATAAACATAATTTTAAAAAGTAAATAAAAGTATGTTGTATAAAGAAAATCACCAACAGACTTAAATATCCATTTCTTGAAAATCATTAAAAAGCTAACGTGGGCTTAATTAATTGTATGTAATCTAAATTTAATCTCTAGACTTCCTTGAACATGTAAAAAACTAGGGTTAGGGAGACTTTACTTGCTAAAGCACATCCTGCTACTTCCTTTTTGGGTAACAACATTTTCTACTACTGTTCTAACTTCTCTTACTTTTTATCCCCAAGCCGTCTTTATGTTGAATCAAAGTCCACTATTGAATTAGTGGATTGGGAAAAACGAAAAGAGGAGCCCCTATTTATAGATTTTCTGACTACACTACCCAGAACCCTTGTTTTCATTTTCCTCTAAAGGATGACAGAAGGACGAGGGAGAAAAAAATAAATAACTAAATAGAACAAATATTTCTACATGTGAGACGACAGTGTTATATATTATTGTGGTGTGTTTGATTTCCTCTCAGACTAATAAATTTCTTCCCTGAATTTCTCTCCCTGTCTCTCTTCATCTCTCCTTAGGTCTAGCCTTCTGTGTTTTTCAGTTGGAGACGCTAAAAGAAAAGGTGCACCTACCAGGAATCTTTTTTTCAGTTTATTGGTGGATATGACGTGTGGAAGTTTTCTCAATTTTCAACTCTTTCAGTAGGATGATGATATATCTATCATTCACACCCAGAATTTCATCTCTTTCAAAAATTTCCAAACACCAAAACCCTGGATCAAGCCTAGAACATAAATTTATTAGGCAAACACCAATCAGAAAGAAGGAAAGGAAACATATAATTGGGAAAAACTATACCTTGTACAGCTAGCTAGGTTTAATTGAACAAACGATATTGTAATTTAGATCAATACCTTTATTTTTCTCTCTTGCAGAAGGGTCTTTCAAGATCTATTCTTTAATAATGCCAGTGAAAAAGAAGTCTACAAGCACCGGGATAGAAATCTTGGGAATTCACTATTGGATGTGAGAGTTCAGAGAGAAAACGGAAAACCCTAGTTACTTGCAGGACAAGATGAGAAAAACCCGCAAATACAATGACAACTAGATAAGCAACAACGAAGAGTATAAGAGAAAAAGAGCATTTTCCAGTGAGAGAGTGGAAAAGAAAGCAAAAGACAAGTGCAATAAATGGGGCTACAAGTGAAAAAGAATGACTATGACACAACCTTTATAATAATACCCAACACTGTACCCAAGTTTAACTGCAATTATCTGTCCCACTAACAACTCTATATATTCTTGGATTTCATATAGCTATGTATTTATAACTAGTTTATTTCTGGTAGTTGAATGCAAATCTGGTTCTCCCTTGCCTTAAGCAACGGTTTTATGGATTGACCCTTTGATTTAAGAAGTTCCTCATCAAGATCTGAGAATAAGAGTGGAGGAATTGGTGAGAAAGTGAACCTACAGAAGAAAGAAAAGAGTACTCTTCAGCATTTGTTACGCCGGTGTAATAAAATACAAGGTTAGTTTTATTTTCATCCCTTCGGTTCTGTCTTGTTCTGTTTATTTACTGTATTTTAAATAAAGCACATACAATATGGGATTCACATGGTACGTAATTTTTCATTCTAATTTGTCCGTTTAATATCAATTTAACTCAGTTTTTGTATTGCCTTAATTTTGAAATTCACAGCTTCCTCTCTCTCTCTCTCTCTCTCTCTCTCTCTCTCTCTCTCTATATATATATATATATATATATATATATATATATATATATATGACTATTAAAATGGATAAAAAATTGTTTTCCATGATGACTTATCTATATGATTAAAAACAATAGATAAAAAGTGTAACCCTTATCACTTCTAACATATTCGTTTTATAAGCATTCATAATTTAACATAACAAATTTATCCAATATTATCATGGCATTATTTTTATTTTTTATCCTTCTTCTTTTTACTTATTCTTTTCAGTTTATATCATTAAATTAAAGAGATTTCTATCTAAGAATTAATTCTTGACATTATGTTAAGATTTTTTGAGAAGATTAATACAAATTTAACTCGTAAGATAAATAAATGATAATATAATATCATTTTTAACAAAAATTATAATTTGTGGGTTTTTTTATTTATAAACCTTAATTCATATTTGAATTCTAATATATTAAATATTATATTTATAATTATCGTTGATAAATTTAAAAAATATGAAGAATATGATGTTATTTATAACTATGAAGGATGATTTTAAATTATAATGGATGTTAGTAGTTATTGTCTATACTTTTATGCCTTTTAAGGAAATCTCAATAAAAATATATTGTCAACAAGGAAATCTCATTAAAAATATATTTTCAGATAAAGTTGAATGTATACTCTGGTGTGTTGAAATTATAAAATAAATTCACCAGAAACAAATTTTCAATATGTTTCCTCTTTCCCAAATTAAACTTAATTCGTTGAAATTAATTTTATTCATTAACATAACCTCAAAATGCCAAAACTTTGAGAGGAGTAGGATATTTTAAAAAGTATTTAAAGATGCAAATGACACAATCAACAACCCCTTCTGCATGTATTAAGATTGAAGTTTCAAGCAAACAAATCCACTCATCCCCTTCAGAGAATTCAAAAGAAACTATCCGCAACAAGTTATGGAATTCCAACAACAATTTTCTCTCGAAAACAAATTGTTTTCTCCTTCAGTATACTAATTTTTAAGATTTAAGTTCTTCAATAGCACCTTGTAGGTAATGGGATCTAACCAGCAAGTGAAAAAACTTGGAGTTTGGACGTGAAATAAGAGATCTAGATAACTGAACTGGTTTGATATATTCCTAACCCACAAGATTGGAAACAGAGAAGATACATATCTTTGGCTAGAAGTTTAGATTAGGAAGGGAATTTCCAAAACTTTTTGCCAAGAACATTCTTAAATTCATGTCATCAACAAGAAAAAATAGTTGATAGGTCTATGGGTGGATGATGTGGGTGGAATCTAATAGGTTTTGGTTTGAATACAATTCGATAAATTGGTGGTGCTTCATTAGTAAATTACTTACTAAAAATAGCCTAGAAAGATGGGTGTTGTTCATTAATTCTCAATATATAAACTATTACATGGATGCTATTTTTTATTTCAAAAGATTTCTTGTTTTCGTCTTAGTGACAAGTGACATTCAAAGTTGGTTCCTTTAAATATTTTTAGTAGATTTTCAACTTATTTGTTTATTTGTTTCAAATATAATATACTAATTTTTTTTTAATATGATAAGAAGCGATTGCGTATGAATTAAATAGATGGTAGATTGAATTTAGGTTTTCTTAGTTATATATGTATATCAAAATATAGTAAATGGTGGGAGAATAAAATTTGTATTTTCTCCTTCTATGTGGGTACCTTTTGTAGTTATAGTAATAACATTGACTTGTTAACAAAAGTTTAAAGATTTTGACAGGCATCATCTTTAACTAAAAGAAATATAGTATAAGTCTAAACTATTCAAAAAATTAATATAAGGAAAAGATTCATGAAGTGACATGGAAGGATAATCCTAGTCCAAGAAAAATGTAAGTGTATTATTTTATTTTATTTTATTTTTGTTTATCTTTTAAATCTAAATATTCTTGTGTGGTTTGAAGTTGGAGTAAATATTTGTTTTGTATATCAAATTGTTTATAGAAAATGGGTTGTGGGTGAACAAATAAATAGAAATTGCATAATGTGAGATATTGATTTCTACTTTTCTATATTGCCCTTTTAATTAATCATGTTGGAATAAATCCTATAAGGATTAACAAATATTTTAGCAAAACAACTATTATTATGAGATTCATTAGTTTAGGTGATTATATAAGGAGAATAATAATACTAGTCAAAACCAACAACTTTTAATAAATTATATTTTATGTCAAGATAAAAAAAAATAAAAAATTTCTCTCCCTTCTTTAAACGTAAGTGATTGAACAATTGATACGCTATTTGTAGTTGATGATGTTAGAATTAATTTAATTAATTCATTCCATTATGTGACTCATGTGAAATATTATAATGGGCCCAAATGTGATTTAATAAAATATGAGGACCTATTGGTTATTATGTGAAGTTAGAATAAAATAAAGATAAAATAAAATATTACATTACGGTAACCAACTTGATGGACGTTGGTTAATAAAATGGAATAAGGGTTCTGTCTCTGGTCATAAAGTTTTTCACGGTAAACCATCAAGAAAGCGAAGCGTGAGAAGAGAAAGAAAGACAAAGAGATAGATTGGGAAAAGGAGATAGGAGAACGAAAAGATCAAAGAAAAGATTCTCATGGATCAAGGTTAGTCTTCTTATTATGATTCATGTATTGGTGTATGTAAAATTGTGAAAATCAATAATCTAAAGATCCTGTAGAGTAGTTTTCTATAATGAATTAAGAACGTAGGAAAACTACATAATGTCTTACATGTGGTATCAGAGCACTGATTATTAGATTTATGATTTTCCTTGTATGAAAGTTTTCCCAAATATTAAGTTTTTCCCAAATTAAGATAAACCCTAATTATGAATTTAGGGATTTCTTTATCAGATTAGTACGAACCCTAATTTATTCCCAATTTTATTTTTCTCAAAATTAAATAAAGGAATAAACCCTAATTATGTTTTCAAGTTCAAATTGAAACCAATTTTATAGTCCCTATGCATGAATGACCCTGTAATCCTTTCTAATTGAAAAGGCAAATGACGTGATAGGGTTAGGATGAATCATGTATGAAATTAGTTTCATTAGATGTTATAATTATGTTATAATTATGATGAGATGTTATGATGGGATATTATAATTATAATGGAAGAATGGTAAACTGTAAAGTTGATAAACTTTGCACGTAGAGAGCACATGTTAAACACATATGTTTCATATATTATATTATTTATAATATTATTTTGAATGTATATTATTTTGTCCCCATATTATTTGTACATTATTTTGTACGTACATATTTTTTTTTTATGTGGGGGAAGGATAATTAAAGAGTTATTTTTATGTTAAAGTGAGTTGTATAATATACTCATACTGTAGGGTACGGTAAAGCTTTGTTATAGGTACTATATTGTTATGGGTACTGTAAAGCTTTGTTATGGGTACTGTAAAGCTTTGTTATGGGTACTATAAAACTTTGTTATGGGTACTGTAAAACTTTGTTATGGGTACTGTAAATTTGTTAAGGTACTGTAAAGC